GTTAGTTGCGTATCCTTTACAGGACGTTGCAGAACCAACCCTAACCGCTCCTGGCTGTTGTGTGGTTTCTTTAGGCAAATTTACGTCCATTAGTTTGCCATTGGTATCTAGACGGTCGGCTTTCTTGATACCACTGTCGAAACCAACGCAAGGCGCGTGGCCCGCAGCTGGGATCGAACCCGGCATTACGAAGCGTTCGCATCGACTTAAAACAAGGGAGCTTCATTTATGTTTAATTGTGAAATAGTCCTCTTCTTCTTCAGCATTCCGAGCCCTTGAGGTTCATTGCTGCAGATATCACCCGCCCCCACTCATCTCTCTGGTTGGCCTTCTCTCTCCAGTTGGTGACACCAAGTGTTCGCAGGTTGTCTGGATATTATCTTTCCATTGTCTTTTTGGTCTGCCTCGTGGTCTACAACAATTATCTCCCTTGTGTATACATTTTTTTAAAATTGTAAAATAGTAGTAATTTTCCATTTTCGCAACAAATGAAACTTCTTGATTGCAACATTAAAGACAAGGAAATTGCAACAGATTTAAAAACTGAGTTCACAAGGAGCAGCAGCAAACTGAAACATTGTGTAAGAGGAAGCAGCAATGAATTAAAATATGAAGGTATACATGCAGGGACGCATTTGGGTACTGTGTAACATCTGTAGCTGCACAATTTTGGGTGTATTATCTCGTCACCCTTAAGGGATGCAATTTTTCGTTATTTGAAGCCCTACTCTGGCTCTTGCCAGGGGCCGGAATATAGCCAGGCCATAAATATGGTCTAACGGCTGAACGCGGTTTCTGGGACCTCTCCACGGTGATCCTCGTCCACATGGTGGCACTTTGTGTCATTGGGTGTTTATCGCTTGTGTGATATCCTGGTGGGGTAAAAGAAGATAGATAGATAAAAATTTGGGGGTGGCAAAATTCTACAACTTATTGTGGTAGTGGGTAAATGATTAGCCATGATGAAGTTTAAATGAGGACAGGGGTTGTAGAATAAATGACCGTTGGTGGCCTCATAAATAAGTATGGCCCTGTGTAAACATTTAACACACAGAAGTAGCAACGGGCTGAAACATTTTTTACAAGGAAGCGTTTACATTTGAATCTCAAGCACAGTGACTAAAAAGTTTTGACAACGCAGCCAGCGGCCTAGACCCGTTGCAGATATTTGTAGTAATTGAGGGGGAAATATTTTGTGCGAGCTGGTGAGATCAAGGTTAAAGCAGACAAAAAAAAAAAACAGTGCACCCAGTTCAGGTGTGTTAGAATGAAAAGTGCAGATATTGCAGCCAAGCTGTAAAGGTTGCCTCTTTTAAGGATGATTGCAGAAAGAGTTTGAAATCATTGTTTTTCTGCGGAATTATAACACACACACTCCTTCATTGAAACCCCCCCCCCCCCCCCCCATCAGACTTAGGTTGTTTCGTAACCATAGGGGTGCCCTCCAGTTTGATTCTCATTCATAGGGTGTTAATCCTACGGACAGCAATCCTAGAGGGCAAAAATGACCAATCAACCAACACACTGTCCATAACATGCAATTCATGGGTGTTCACTTTTTTAGTCATCTGTTCCTCAGATATCTCACTGAGTACCAAACAATGGCAATGAAGTATCTTGTTATGCTGGATAATGGAAACTTTTATGTATGTTTCCTATCCCATTTTTAAAACCAGTGCATGCAAATATATTTTACTGAACATCATTTATTTATTTTTCGTCAACTTCCATTTTCAAGTTAATGACGAGTGGCTGTGTCAGTGTTTGCTATCATAATTTTTTTGTGTGTGCATGATTAATCACCAACTGATGAAAAATATCAGAAATATTCTGGTTTACAACTGGCAGAAGAAAAACTTAGAAATAAAAATCATTTTCCATAAGTATCACAATTTATGCTTAGAGTTTTGGCATTGTCTTATTCCTCCTTTTTTGTTGTTGAAGATTTCAACAATAAATGTATTGATGAGAAAAAGGTTATTGCTCCGGGACATTAACTGTATCAACTGAGTAAAAATGAATGGTACAACAGCGATGTAGTGGGCCAAGAATTTTAGTTCTGATCAAATGTAAGGTAAGCTGTGTATATATATATATATATATATATATATATATATATATATATATATATATATATATATATATATATATATATATATGATATACATATATATATATATATATATATATATTATATGTATATTAACACATGTGTGTGTGTGTGTGTTTTTTAAAAGATATCTTAAGGGATTATTATTTGAAAATCTATTCCCCCCCCCCCCCCACCCCCCCCCCCCCCCCCCCCCCCCCCCAAAAAAAAAAAATTGGCAGCCCACTTCAAAATTCATCAGCAGGAAAGCAACTGTATAAGAGAGCACTCTCGAAAAAGGCTTTCTCCAGAAACAGAACGTTTCAGCCAACTTCTTTTTTCTTGGCAGGAATCGACACATATGGTAACTCAGTGGCTATGGCCAAGGTCAGGCCATTTATATTGTTACTACTAACCCCAGGACGCCAATTGTGGTCATTATTTCATTAAGCAAGCATCAATTCAAAGGTCCCGGATAAATAGGGTCCTTTGGATATTTTTTTCAGTCTATGCCGGTGTGTTGGGTAATGAGCAGGCAGATATACTGGCTAGCTCTGGGTGGTGAACTGATGTATAACACGCTAGATATTGTGAAGGCCTTTTGGGAGCGAGTGAACAGATAGGGAGGCACAGATAGATCATTACGGTCTGAGGAGAATGGCGTTGCGAGGAGTTATAACGGGGTCTGGAAGACGCTCAACACTCAGGAGTAGGGTGAGAGGGATATACAGACAGTTACTGGTACCATCAGAATTGGAACTCTGTGCTTGCTGCTGAAGATGCAGGACGGAGTGCTTATGGGAGTGTCCTGAGTGCTACGATGTCGATTCTTAATTCAACATATTTATTTAATAAAACTTAAACTAGTCTGATGTATTACCAGTTTAAACATTTATATCAGATATGTGTTTCATCTGATTTTTTTTTTTTTTTTGAATCATTTAAACTAGTTTGATCTATTACCAGTTTAAATATTTATCTTATATATGTGTTTCATCTGATTTATTTTTAAGAATCACCATTAATCAGAGATGGGAAGCCAGCATTTGGAACCAATAATTTATAAGCGTTCTCTTCAATGGAGAAGGGCGACGCCTGTGGCCAAGAACTGCTGCATCATATTTTGTTTTATTTTACCCTGGTAATTATCAGCCAGCAGATTCTTTACAGAACCTCGCTCTTCTCATGGCAGGCCCGAAAGTCTCTCTTTCTCTGTAAACATTTATAAGAGTTTTCAGTCTAATAATCTTCTTCTTCTTCTTCAGCATTGCGAGCCCTTGAGGTTCACTGCTGCAGATATGACCTGCCTCCATTCATCTTTCTGGTTGGCCTGCCCTTTCAAGTTGGTGACACCAAGTGTTTGCAGGTCTGTCTGGACATTATCTCTCCATATTTTTCTTCGTCTGCCTCGTGGTCTACGACCATTCATCTCTCTTCTGTATACAGTTTTTACTTCTCCGTAGCCTGACTGATAAGACTTATTAAAATTCTAAATATCATTCGCATGACATATGTGGTCTGACACAGTCATTGCAAAACTCTCCTGTGTGTGGAGTTACCTTCATATTCGTGCCAGGTCATGCAGGCATTGTTGGTAATGAAAGAGCTGATAGACTGGCAGGTGCTGCATTAATTGAAGATGGTCAGCCTATGGGTCACGCAGACATTGTCATTGCCCTTAGAGAGATAGGACGTTTTGAGGATCTTGGAAGCAATGTGTCCATATCATTGTTAAGAATACAAAAATTTGGAGTACAAATAGGTACAGCCAAGCATGAGAAGCACATTGGACGCACACAAAGTCTTGTTAACCAACATAGGACTGGCCCTTTTAACCGCTCGACGCTGATGAATATGTTGAGAGGGGAATCTGAGCGCCTATGGATGTGTCCAGAGTGCTGTGAAGATAATCTAACTCATAATTCAGCTCTGACACTTAACATGTTAAATCCATATAAATAAATGCTTTTATTATGCAGAAATTGACATGTAAAAATATAATAAAGGACCCCCCACCCCCTCCCCTTTAAAATTATTTTTTTCCACACAAGTGATGCGTATGCCGCTAGACACACACATTTATAAACCAGCTGGTACCTGAGAGAGGTGATGTTATCAACACCAAGTAAGTTGTCTTTACATAAGGTTAAAGTTGAAAGGATTGACTTCATTGCACTAGGTTTTATCCCATATGGCTCGCTCTCTCTTCACAAAATATCTCGCCGCCTGCTGAGAGAGCAATAACTCTGTAGCTTTATAGAAATACCCATGTTAGGCTGAGCTGACCTGGGAGCCAGGTTAATTTAAAAACAAATTAGACGCTACAGATTTAAACCCTAGACATTTAGGCCAGCAGGTAAATGTTAGCCATGCACTACTGCAGCCTCTCCATGATTGAATATGGTAAATAAAAACACGACTGTTAAGGGTAATATTATAATATTAAAATCTCATGATCCTCCAAACAGACTATATTAGGAAATAAATCTCTTCATGCATTCTTTTGCCTTTGAAATTACTGTATATCATAGAAAATAAAAAAAGATACATGGTTATAATGACAATGTTTTTGAACTTGTATGAACTTTCAATAGGTGAAACTTTTTTTTGTACATGGAGTTTTTCTGATGGAACAATGAGAACTCCATATTTTCTATCATATAGGAACATTTTAACCAACATCTTCAGAATATTTGTTTCACTGTCTATCACTGTCTCTAAATACATCACTGTCTCTCAGAACATTGTGTCTCTCTCTGTGCACACCTGTCTCTCTGTGTACATCTGTCTTTCTGTACTTACCTGTCTCTCATGCTCTCTCTCTCTCTTTCTCGCTGTTTTCTTTACATATCTACAACCATTATAATATCAAAGGACGCAACATTAAACTTGAGAAACTCTCTCCTTGATGTCAAGATGAACATCTTGTTTGATCTTTCAATTTTTTAACTATCTTCTCTGCTACTGATCTGTAAATCTGGCTCTGAAAAATAAGTTAAAATATTTTATACATTAATTAATATTTTGAAAGAGAACTAAATATGTTCCAGTGAAACAGGTGAGGAAGAGATGCTGGTGTTGAACAGGACACATACTGAGAAAACATGAAAACAATATAACTAGAATGTTCTTGCAATGGTATGCCCCAGTATAATGAGGGCAAAGAAGCCAGTTAATTTCCTCACCATCTTTCCTTCCAGAATTTCAACAACAAAAAACAAAAACAAAACCATAAAATATATATATATATATATATATATATATATATATATATATATATATATATATATATATAATGATATGAGAAGGGGATAATTAATAAGCATGAACAGGATGAAGCTTAAATGGAACACATACCCTGCAGCCTTAAGAACATATATGTGGGTGACTCCTGTCGTGACCCCATGACCTCTATCATCAAGGCTCACGGAAAGATTTATAACTTGGCTTTAACAAAGCTATTTGGCTCAATGGACCAATGGACATCCCCCCCCCCACCCCATGCTGTTTCTTGAGTTATTGTATTTATATCATGATCTCCGAAACATCTGCGCAGGAGCGAAAGAGGCCAACAGCATTAACTAAGAATCTCATAAACAGGTCACCATAGACAGTGAGCCATCAATGTCACTTTTCTGGAAAACTGGATCCAATCGGAAGTGTCAGCTCTGCAGCTTCTCTGGACAAAGGGGTTAAAAGGTGAGGTCAATCGAGAATCACATAATTCGCAGAAAAAAATCTTGGCATTGTTGGGGAACTGAACTGGGATCATCACCTTGGTAAGCAACTCGAGATTGGTTTATATTCAATGTTTACATTTGATGCCTAAATGAAGTATTATTGACAACAACAACAAAACAGTTGCACTACTTCCACAAGGACCAAATATGCAGTCCTTGTAGAAAACAAATACACTATCAGAGAGAGAGAGAGAGAGAGAGAGAGAGAGAGAGAGAGAGAGAGAGAGAGAGAGAGAGAGAGAGAGAGAGAGAGAGAGAGAGAGAGAGAGAGAGAGAGAGAGAGAGAGAGAGAGAGAGAGAGAGAGAGAGAATTAGCACATGAGAATGACACATCGTCTCATACACTGTGTATTGTTTGGTACTAAAATAGTTAAAGCAGTCAAGATTAGAATGAAAAAGGTCAGTTACACAGTCACAGTAGAGTTAATATCCAGGCAGACCTACAAACACTTGAGCGTCAACGACTGGAGAGAGAGATGAATGGAGGCGGGTGATATCTTTAGAAATGAACCTCAAGGGGTTGAAACACTGAAGAAGAAATTACACACAAGACTGACATCAATGAAACAACAAACAACTTACAAATGGACTGTCAGGTTGTGATATCACAATTGGTTGTCCAGAATCTGATAACTCACACAGAGATTTGTTTAAAGGAACTTCACCTATTGAGGACCAAACAAATGAGATACAGTGAAACATGAGCACCAGCAACTGACTTTGTGACCTTAGTTATTTAGATCTTCAATTGTAGAAACAATCTGGAAAATGCTTTTGTGTAATGATACAAAATATAATGAGATAACAATGTGTAGAGGCATTAGGAATAAATTGCAAACTTAATTTCTTCTTCTCCTTCTTCTTTTGTGCTCACTGGCAGAAAGTTCTGGTTGTCTGTACACTTCTATACTTTAGTCTTGTTCCAGAACTTAAATTTTCTCTGCACATCCATTTTTACAGATCTGGTTTATTTGTATGCAGACTGTTGGTTTTTCACCTCTCAGACAGATGCATATTCTTTACAGGGTGTTGCAGAACCAACCCCAGCACATCTTGGCTGTTGTGGTTTTCCTGGGATAAATTTATGTCCAATAGTTTGCCATTGTTTCTGAATGGTCAGCGCTCTGTACCACTGTCAAAATCAATGCAAGACAAATCGTCCTCAGCTGGAATCGAACCTGGCACCTCAGCATTATGAAGCGCATTTGCAACGCCTAATTTATAACTGTCAACACTAATTTCATTCAACTAGTTGTACAAATTGTATATAAAACATAACAATTCAACCTATACAAGAATAACTACTGTAGATAAAGTATAATATACATATTATGTATCTGTTGCATCAGTTCTGGGTACTTTTTAACCATACTGGTGTAGTTATCTTTATTTACTATCTCTCTCTCTCTCTATAAATATATATAAAAATATATATATATTTATATGTATATATATATGTATATATATATAGAGAGAGAGAGAGAGAGAGTGAGTGAGTGTGTGCGTGTGTGCATGCATGTATGTGTGTGTGCGCGCACGCGTGGTTACAAGTGTCAGATGGTCATATGTCGTAAGTCAAGGAGAAGGTGTATTAAAAAAGTATGGTATCCACTGGCTGCCTTAAAATCCCACAGGTGTTAGTTATTTGGAAACCACTGTTATATAATGCTCGACACAGTCCAAACATTTTACCTAATATTTCAGAACCCATCTCCAAGGCAATGTTCTTAGCACCACCTTCCCCAAAGATATGTTCTTGGTGACCGCAGTTTGGGCACAGAAAGACACTCATGTTTTCAATGATTCCCAGGTTTGGGACGCTGACTTGTGAGAACATATCTAAGGCACGTCTGGCATCTAACAATGCAAGATCTTGGGGTGTGGTGACAATCACTGAGCCTGTAAAGAGAGTACAAGTTTTTAAAATGTAAATAAATTGCTCCACTGTGAAAGACCCTGTGTTGAACCATCATCAGGGAAGGCTCAACCATGGGCCTAATGAACATGCAAGACCTAAAACAGGTGGCAATGAACTGTCCGACATGGAGAGCTATGATCTCTGCCTTATGTGCCACCCTAGGCTCAAGAGAAAAGACTAATTAACTAACTAACTAACTGTGATAAGACAATAAGGCAAGTATGCATGCTGAAGAACACTGGGCGAGGAGAGGAGTAAGTCAGAGTACCAGAGGAAAAGTCTGACCTATGTAGGGTCATGATCACATTAGGCCGGAAGTGCAGAGAGTGGCCAGCGGGGGCTACTGAGGTGGAAGTCCAACAGTTGATTCACGACAATTCTCGTCCTGATGATCTGATTATCTACATAGATGGTTCTGTATTGAGAGGGAAGAGAAATGCCTGGGGCTTTGCAGCGAAAGCCAATGGAAAATCTTTAGTGCAGGACAGCCTAGCATAAAAAAGGTAAAAAAAAAGGTAAAGTCGGGAGATGTGAACCAGCGTTATTGCACAAGGTTATAAACCATAAGTGCTCTGCCACCGGTACGGACAGCTGATAAGAATTGTCCGCCTGTGTCGCCGTCCGCACATAACTCTGTAGCTACAGCGACGTTGACAGGTCAACCTAGCATATCATACCAAGACATCTAGCATGTGAATGGAGGTGGAGGCGGTCACTGCAGCTTGCCGGTGGCTAGAGAACAAGATTCATACACATGTCGTAATTGTAACAGACTTTAAAAGCATGCTGAAAAAGGTGAAGACAGGATCGTTTCGAGCAGAGTGGCAAGCTTCACTTGCAAAGGTCACACAGGTAGTGAGCATACTTTGGATCTTTTCTCCAGACAATGCTGGCATGGTGGAGAATGAATAGGCAGGCAGACTGTCTGGATCTGCACCGCTGGGTGGTGAATTTGAGGCAGATTTGAGATGAATTCTAGATCTCGTAGTTATGGGTGCTTGCTGGGGTGCAGAGAAATTAAATCCCAACAGCTGGAGAAAAGAGATGCAGCAAGAAAGAGATAAAGAAGAAGCTGAAGAAGACAGCAAGAGAAAAATGCTATAGTGTAAATAACAAATACAAAGCACTGAAGGAACAAGGGGATAAGGAAACTACAACAAAGTAATTCAATACTTGCCTGAGACAGGGATATTCTGTGAGATGGAAAGCTGAACATCTCCAGTACCTGGGGGCATGTCAACAACAAGATAATCTAGGGGACCCCATAAAACCTGAAACAATTAGAAACAGTTGCTGCTTTTACAACATGGTCTTCACAATAAACATACATACAAAAGATTATCACCCTTTTCCAATGCACTCATGCTCGTATGCACACACACACACACATATTACATATATATATATAGTCTGTGTGTGTGTAAGAGGTTTTCCTATACATGTTAGAAGTTTATGTTTAGATATTCAAAGAAAGGTATGATAATAAGTGAACTATGAAATGTGTATGGGTAATTCAATAAAAATGTCTTCAAATAAACTGCATTTATCTTGGCATAAAGAAACAACATTACCTCTCGTAACATTTTCTGTATCGCCGACATCACCATTAACCCCCTCCACACAATGGCAGATTTTTCATCAACCAAAAAACCCATGGACATGCTGCAACAGAGCATTGGAAATCTGCACTGAACTATAATGACACATAGCATACTGTGTCAGTTTTTCACTAACATAAGTAAAAAGTAAAGGGTCTCAAATTTTTATACACCAGTTGGCCATCGGCAGGTATGTGGTCGTATAATTGTCACTGTCGTTTTTAGTTCATTCAGTTGGTCCATAGAGTTTACATTCCACTGTTGTTCCTTCCGACTAAAAAGTTTATTCTAGTATGTGATATTCGGTGCGGTCCTGGAGTACATGTTCTGCTGTCTGGGACAACTTTTACCTTTACTTTCCAGGATATAAGCTGGCACCTATTTTCAGCTGATTTTGATTGATTTGATTTGATTTGATTCAAGAACCGACATCACAGCACTCGGGGCATTCCCATAAGCGCTCCGTCCCAATCTTCAGCAGCCAGCGAAGAGTTCCGATACTAATGGTGCCAGTCTTCTTCTGCCTTTCTATCCCCCAATGGAGCATAGGCCCTCAACCATCTCACGCCAAGTCGTTCTATCCTTCGCCATTACATGGAGCTCTCCCCATGTCCTCCCAATCTTTCTAACCTCATTCTCCAGCTCTCTTCTCCATGTGTTTTTTGGCCTTCCTTTATTCCTATGCCCCTGTGGGTTCCAATGCAAAGACATTCTAGTTACGCTGTTCTCCTGTTTTCTCAGTGTGTGCCCTATCCAACGCCAGCGTCTTTTCCTCACCTCCTGATCCACTGGAGCCTGTTTAGTTCTCTCCCAAAGTTCTACATTAGTTATTCTATCATACCATTTTATTCCCTCTATTCTGCGCAGGCACCAGTTAATGAATGTCTGTAATTTATTAGTAATTGCCTTCGTTGTTCTCCATGTTTCCGCCCCATACAATAGTACTGATTTGACATTAGAATTACAAATTTTTAGTTTAGTATTTCTTTTAATTTCTTTTGACCTCCACAAATTCCCTAGTGCTATGAAAGCCACTATTGCCTTTTGTATTCTTATTTTAATATCTCTATCAGTTCCTCCATCTTTATCTACATTACTGCCTAAATAGGTGTACGACTCCACGTCTTGGAGTGGGGTGCCATTAAGAGAAACCACATTACTATTTGCCTGATTTATTCTCATTATCTTTGTCTTTCCTTTATGGATTTTCAGACCAAGCTGCTGTGATCTCGCATTAAGTATATTTAATTTATCTTGTATCTGATTCCGTGAATGGGACAGAAGGGCAATATCATCAGCGAAGTCCAGATCATCAAGCTGTTTTGTAGGGGTCCACTGAATTCAATTCTTGGTGTTAGCAGTTACTGTTTTCATAGTCCAGTCTATAGCCAGTAAAAATAGGAGAGGCGACAAAAGACATCCCTGTCGCACACCTGTTTTTATTTCAAATGCATCTGTTAGCTTTCCCTCATGAAGAACTCGACATTTCATGTCTTTATATGTTGCCTTTACTAAGTTGATAATTTTCTGTGGGATTCCATAGTGCCCCATCAATTTCCAGAGAGATTCCCTATCAATGCTGTAAAATGCTTTTTCATAGTCTATAAATCCAATGTAAAGTGGTGAGTTCAGTTCAATGCTTTGCTCTATTATAATACGTAATGTGGCTATGTGGCTATCTGATCAGTACAGGATCTGTTTGACCGAAAACCTGCCTGCTCATCTCTTAGCATTTTATCAATAGCATCTTTTAATCTTTCCAAAATAATTCTACTTAATATTTTTCCAGGAACTGACAGCAACATAATTCCTCTATAGTTTTCACACTCCTGTAGATCACCTTTTTTTGGGCAGTTTCACAAGATATCCTTCTCTCCAGTCTGCTGGTATTTCTTCGGTCTCCCAGACTTTACTGAATAATCTATGTAGCAATTCTGTTGATGTGTTTATGTTGGTCCTGATGGCTTCAGCTGGGATACCATCTGGGCCTGACGCCTTTCCTTCCTTAAGAAGATTTATAGCTTTTCTAATTTCCTCTTTGGATGGTATCTCACAGTTGATATGCAGTTCCATTTCTAAAGGCTGGATATCTGGGGGAACCTCTGGGCCTGGTCTATTTAGAAGCATTTCAAAATATTCAACCCATCTGTCCATTTGATCTTTAGTGTTAGTAAGTACCTTTCCTTGACTATTTTTGATTGATCCAGTTAGCTGACTATATTTACCTACTAATTTTCTTGTGTTACTGTAAAGTTCTCTGAGGTTTCCTTTTGCTGCTGCTGTCTCCGTTTCTTGTGCTAGATCATTTAGATATTTCACTTTATCTGCCCTTATATGCCTCCTAACTTCCTTGTTGGCTTCTGTGTAATTCTCCTGCGCTCTAGCTTTAGCAGCTCTAGTTTTCCTATTGTTTAATTCTGCCTTTTTACTTTTCCTATCTTCAATCAGTTTAATGGTTTCTGGTGTTATCCATGCTTTATGTTTCCTTTCTTTCTTGCCAAGAACTTCTACGCAAGATTCATTCCAGATTCCTTTAATCTGATCCCAGCAGACTTCTGTGTTGACATCTTCAGCTAACTGCTGCTACACCTGGTACTTATTAGAGACCGTAACTGAGAACTGTTCCTTAATTTCTTTATCCCTGAGAAAGCCTACATTATATTGGTTTCTATGATTATAAGATGTTATATATCTTTTTAGTTTCAACTTGATTTTACTTATCACCAGGAAATGGTCAGTAAATACATCGGCACCTCTGAAAGCCCTAACATCGTAAAGGGATGATCTAAACTTTTTGTTAATACATATGTGGTCAATTTGATTAGTTGTCTTATGGTCTGGTGATTCCCATGTTGCCTTGTGTATTCTTATGGGGGAAAATACTTCCACCAATAACATACTGGTTACCTGCACAAAAATTTGTGAACAATTCTCCATTTTCATTCATTACTCCTAGACCATGTCTCCCCATAATTTCTTCATAACCTGTGTTGTCTGATCCTATCTTAGCATTCAAGTCACCCATCAAAATTTTTAAGTTGCCTTTTCTTTCATTATTTATAATATTTTGAAGCTGCATGTAAAATTCTTCCTTAACAGATGCATCTTTATCATTTGTTGGTGCATAACACTGTATTATCGACATGTTCACCTTCTGTTTTACTGTTCTAAAAGATGCTTTTATTATTCTGGGACTCACAGCTTCCCATTCTATAGTGCCCTGTCTGCTTCTTTTGATAGCATCAGGGCCACTCCTTCACTGTGCGGCGAATTTTCCTCTGTGTGTCCTGAGAACAAAATGGTTTCTCCTGAATTAAGAATACTTTTCCCTGTCCCAGTCCATCTAGTTTCACATAACCCCAAAATACTAATTCTATAATGTTTCATTTCCTTTGCTACTTCCATTGTTCTCCCTATATCATAGAGAGTTCTAACATTCCAGGTGCCAATTCTGGAGGAGGTACGTCAACGATCCGGACTCCTTACGGCTTTCTCCACACCGTGTCATACTTCTTCTATTTGAAGAGCCTCCCCTCATCTTGGTTGGCTGGATTTTATTTGCTTCTCTTTTTGACTTATCCATGGTTGGTTGGTTTTTGTGGCTATGGTTTTTACAGGATGAGGTAGCCAACCTCACGCCCAACCCTACCCTTAGTCGCCTCTTACGACATGCCTGGTAGGGTGCAGTGTCACTATTCTTTGCTTCCCGTGAGGGCCCCGGTGACACACGGGCGATGGTGCCAGTAGCTTTCTGATTAAACGTCCGTCTTGCCTTTCCTCTGAGCCTTGAGCTTCTGCCAGAACCTCTCGACACCCCCAATTGCATCAATCTCACCAGACTGTGGTGATCCATCTGCTCCTCCTCATTGTACACGCTCTCCCACAAGGCACTAACCACGTCTGTTCTATCATGTAGCAGTATTCCACCAAGTTGTGCAGAGCCGGCCAGTCTGTCCGTCTGTTCATTTCCCAACACACCGGCGTGACCCGGTGAAAAAATCCAGACAATACTCCTCACTCGTGTCCTCCGCAGCGAAGCATGCCACTCTGCACGAAGCATACCTGTTCTGATCTTTCTCAGCATGCTTTCTGAATCAGTTACAATTACAATGTGTGTGTGTGTCGTGATCTCTAGCCAGCGGAAAGCTGCAGTGACCGCCTCCACCTCCATTCTTAAGCTGCATGTTGTGGTATCATATGCTAGGCTCTCCTGCACCAAACGTCGACCATTAACTTTTGCTAAAAAGCCCCAATCACTTCTTTTGCCTCTTGACACTGAACCGTCTGTGTAAATTATCAAATCCTCTGAGCGAGCATTATCTTGAATTAATTGCTGAATTTCCACCTCTGTGGCACCTGCTGGCCAGTCTCTGCATTATATGAGTAACACCTTAGGTGATGTTTAATATAACCAAAGTATCTATTTCTGAGACTTTCTAGAAAAAAAGTTTCTGAGGCCTGATGCTGTTACCAGTAAGCTTTATTTATTGCTCAGAACTTGCAGAATTTCATAATTTTTTCTCTTCTTTATTCCATTGCTTTCTAAGTTTTGAAAATGTACATACATGAAATATTCTACTAAAGACAATTCTAAGCAATTTCGAATGGTTGATACTTGTCTTTCAGTCCAAACCAACACACCACGCCCATATATAGCGTACCAAGCAATCAACAATGTGGTCTGATCTTTAGGCTGAGCATATTACAGAAATCTGGCTAAATATTTTAATGCCTCAACAATGTATACATGTGGCTACATCTGGGAAAGGCAGGTGGTCACATTTTATACTCACTGTGACTATTGCTTGTTGGAAATATCCTTCGAAGTCTTCTGATATTCAAAGAGTTGAATAAAAAAAACATGTTTAATAAAATTAAAAGAAGGCTTTCAAAACAACTCTGTCAATTTATAATAATGTAAATATGCAATGTGCTTACCATTTGACTCCGTAGTTAACAAGAGGTATCATCAGATTCTCTGAAAATGACATAAGTAGTGATTAAAAATAGCAAACTCAACAGAAATCAATTTTCTTCCATTTCTACCACTTCCTTTATTCTGTAGATATTTCTTGTCTAACATTAACAATATGTTTCTTCACTTTCAAAAGTTTTGTTTATAAATACTTTTTAGTTTTAACGCTAATGTCTAAAAAAAAGTGCAGTGAGGTAACTTAGTCACTGGATGGTGCAGAGTACATTAATAAAATGCATGAACAGGTAACCATTTACCTTGCACTCTAAAAGTTGTGGTTTCATTTTTGGACTGCAGCAGTCAATTGAAAAGTGCAATTTTATTTAGATCCAAGGTGGTCAATGCTGGAACTTTGGAGTTCGCGCTTTGTGTAAACTGTCACAGACAGGTAGCTGCTCTAAACCAAGCCATATGAGACCAAATCTGGTGGAATGAAGCTGCTTCTCTCTTTTTTTTAATTACCTTCATGTTATTTTTCACCTGATGACCTTTCATGGCTAACTAAACTGTAAATAGACATGATAGAGATAACAGCTAGATTATTGGAAGAACATAATAACTAATCAAGATATACATTTTTTTTTAAAAAACCAGCAACCTAAGCAAGCAACAAAACTTTAAGTACCTAGGAAGCATAAAATATCCAATGGAAGTATGGAAGCAGATACAGAATTTAAATGTATTTTTCAAATCACTGAACAGATGTCACTAATACTGTAGAACAAACATATAACAACTGACACCAACAAAGCACTATTGAATATATTATTTTTAGCAACATGATGCTATCAGTACCAAAGGTGAAAATTATCAACAAAAAGAAATAAAAAACAAAAAACAGAAATGAAATGTCTACAATGAATTTCAAATGTAACAAGGACAGATGTGATCAGAAATGATGATACGAGGAAACAAGTTGGGACAAAACCAGTCCTGAACTACACCAGGAGACAACTTACCACATGGCTGACATCTGCACATATGTCAAGACTATCTCAGGATGCTGACCACAGAGAGCTCAGTCCCTTAGACACAAGAGAGGCAAAGCTAGAAGTTGCCCTGGCAAGAAATGGATAGATGGAATATCTGAGGTCATTAATACTAGCATTGATGAAGCAGATCAGCATTAAAAGTCCATGCTTAAGCACCAGCAAAGAAATCAGAATTACAATTTTGAGAGCATGCATCTTCCCTGTAGCAACATACAGATGTGAGTCGTGGACTATCTCCCTGTCCTTAAAAAAGAAAATAGGGGCTTTTGAGCTGAAATGCTATAGTAAGATTCTCAGAACATCATGGACAAAGAAGAGAAGAAATACTGACATTTTAAAAGATGTAGTTAGTTAGTTGGGTTATCATCATTGCACTCCGGACATGTCCATAGATTTTAAAAGATCTGAACATCAATCAAGAAAGATTGCCTAATAACAGCACCCTGTCTTGGAAGCTGAAATTTTTTTGCCATATCAGGTGCCATGGCGGATTGGAAAAAAATAATAACAGAAGGCATGGTACCAGGAAGGAGGGGCAGAGGTCAACCAACACAAAGATGGGCAGAGGATATAGTGACTCCTTGAATACGAAAGTACACAAGGCGAGAAACCGAGTTTCAGGCAGATCATGATGAGAGCAAAGTTCTGCATAGAACCTGCTATGTGATGATATAGCACATAACGCGGATCACACCATTGTGATCAAAGACATGCTATCAGGTCTTTTCAACATAAAATATATCTCTGTTCACTATTATCACTCTCATAATTTTTGTAACTATTTTCTCATTTAAAGAATTAGCATTTCTCTTATCTCTTCTTCTTCAAGCTTCAGCCTGTTATCCCCTAACGGAGTGCAGGAGCTTAATCAGCTTGATGCAAGCCTTTTTATCTTTCACCATCTTTTGCAGTTAAGTTTTAAGCAGAAAATAGCTAGCTGAAGTTTCTTGCTAGCTACAAAAAAGTAGGTTCTCCTTGCAACTACGGCCACATATTGGGGGAGTACGCCGAAGTTCAGTGCCCTGGCCGCATTGCAATTACGGAATGGAGAAGGAAGGAATCACACAACATTGTGAGGTCGACATGGCTGGCAGACCGACAGCAGTGCACTGCACCCAACCCTAACCCTAACTCAAACCCTAAACCTATGATGACAGCAGTGCACTGCACGCTGTCTATGGCTCACGCTGTCTATCGCCAACACACACTAATTACGTCATTTGTTTCGTTCCCTCTTCTCCATTCCGTAATTGCAATGCGGCCAGGGGACTGAACTTTGGCGTACTCCCCCAGTATGTGGCCGTAGTTGCAAGAAGAGCCAAAAAGTCACTTGTTCATTTCTTCTTCTTCCTCTTATGCTCATCAAAAGGGTCCTTTGGGACCAAGAGAACAGTGTGGAGGCACAAACAGATCATCACGGTCAGAGGAGAATGGTGTTGCAGGGAGTGACAAGGGAATCTGGTCGCCACTCAACACTCAGGGGACAGGCGAGACGCATATACAATCAGACTGTTACTGGTACCATCAGAATTGGCACTCCGTGCTTCCTGCTTAAGATGGGGACAGAGTGCTTATGGCAATGTCCTGAGTTCACTATATCCTTCCTAATTCAACAGTCAACATTCAGCGCTCACTAGCAGTAAACTCCAGCAAAAAGTTCTGATTGTTTGTCCACTCCTGGACTTTGTTGGTCTTGCATGCATATTCATTTTATAGATCTGTCTTATTTTTATGCAGACTGTCCCTTGTTTCTAAAGCAGAGGTCCTCTGACAATGAAGGAAACACCCTCAATTAGTCAACTTTTAAGAAATTCTTGCGGTTAGGGGTGGGAGTGGGTCTATTATTTTTCCCCTCACAATGGGGCTCCCGAAACCATAAGGGGAAAGGCAAGTGTTAATTTAACCGAGCCTAACCTAATCTTTTGTTAACTAAAGTTTAAAACGTCTGGGTCTGAAAAAGTTCAAACCAATAGCACTATGGAACAAAACAGGCAAAAGTAAACAGTAAGACTGAATCAGTTGATGCAATGACAAAAAATAATTAGTTTTAAAATTTAAAAAAAAAATTTATTTTCCATTTTCTCCCTCAAGGATTGTAGTCTGCAGGATTAATATGCTGAGAATGAGAATCAAACAGGTACAAATCCTTGAAACTTTTTTTTGCAATATAGAAAGCTATAGTGGGCTACCATGAAACCTGTAGTCCAGTGTCGGCAGGTGGTAATAAAGGGTTGAGACAATGCAAATTAAGAAGTAACAGGTAAACATGGGGTAAAGTGCTCAGCACTGATGGAGTAGAGTTATAAACAGCATGTAATAAGTCAGCACATACAGTAATAAACTCACCTGCTCTATCTTGGACAAAGCCAGTGCCAGATTGACTGTCAAGGACAAATTAAAATGAACAGTCTTGTGTATGCAAAATATAGTAAAAGGTTTCTGAGACTTTCATTTTAGTCTTCTTTTTCTGCATTCACCTTTAAAACAGCAATTGGTGAGCTGTGTTGTGGTTTACAGCTTAGCTCTTGTATCAACCAATACACCTAATTTCCTAAAACTCTTAATCAGTCACCTTTAGCGACATGCTAGTTAAAAGGCTCTAGGTCCACGCCCGAGGTGGAGAGGGGGTGTTTCACAGTAAACTGTATTTAAAAACATTATGATTGCAGCTTCTTTTATATTCTTGCTTCCTTCCTTAGAAAAAAATTCCTGGACTGAACTCCATTGCCACCCTGACCTAAAACACAACTAGTTCTGCCACTGCTGGGGTTCAAACCCTATAATCAAGTGTTGACAAGTATGTGAACTAACCACTGCTATGCTTGGTAAGTGTTTCCCTGGTGGGCCCAGGCAGCACAAAGATACATAATTAAAAATTTTTTAAGAAGCATTTTTGAGCCTCTAATGGTTACCTCTTTAAGCCTCAATTAGCTGTTATGTTACTGTTATTATGTTGCCTTCCATGCCTAAATGTTGAGCTTTAACTAAGACACTTTTGTACAGAATTAGTTGAGTTAATACATCAGGAACGACAGGTTAACATAACTTCTGTTTCTAGAAGAAGACAGCTAGAAAATTAATTTATGGCTGGAATAAATTTATTCCAGTACCAAACAACTAGTGTTTGGTACTGAGAAAGCAAAAACACCTGGCCCTTATGCAGGAGATGGGAAATACTTCTGTATGGTGCAAAAAAAAAATCCTAACCTGCACGGATCATTGTGACCATGGCCCTAACACTCCAGGCTCAAGACTTCCCCCACCTATTGTCCTCTTCTTCTTTACTTGATCTTTTACCACTTCAAGTGTCGAGGGAGATATAAGGTTCTGCTTCTTGATCTTCTGGTCATCTCTACCACAGACACAGTGTGCTGCTGTAAAGTTTCTCTGATATTATCTTTCCATATGTTCTTGGTCTACCTCATGCTCTTCATCCATCTTCTCTTTTGGTGTGTGGTATGATGTCACAAGGCATTCTCTCTAAGTGGGCATACTGATTGATTTGCTGTCTCCGTACGTAATTCAGAATTACTTATGTGTAACGTTTAATTTTTATGACCTCAGTAGTGATTTTATCTCGTCTGGTCACTCCTGCAGCCATTCTCAGACATCTCATTTCCATGGTTACAAATTTTCTGTTCTGTTGTTTTTGGGGATTTTTTTTTGGGTGAGTGACCATGTCTGGCACTGGTAGCATACAGTGGGAATGAATATGCTTTGTATGAGATGTTTTTCTGTGCTGATAGTGACTGCTGACTGCCTTATGCTATAAGAGTGGGGCTAGCTGTCCAATACTACACCACCCTAAAAAGTGGTAAATACAGGTAAACAGGCAGTAATAGCCTCATATACACACACATAAACATACAGACCCGCAGTTGTGGACTTTCCAACACCACCTTTTCCAGAAGCCACAACAATCACATGATTCACCCCAGGTATCGGTAACTTCTTGGGCAAACCTCTTACTCTGCGTTCAGTGGTTGTTTCTTGAGTTGCTGGCTTGGGCGAATTAGCACGGACACCCTGTGGTAAATGGAAAGATTTAAACATAAAACACAAGACAGCTGAAACTTCCAAAAATAAAAAAATATAACCAAAAAAAAACAAAACAAAAACCCATTAAAGTGAATGACTGTAACCAGCTTGTTTTTACAAGTACCAAGCAGTTCATAGGCTGATCTCCTTTTTCTTCTTCTTCGCACTCACCAGCTGTAAATTCCAGAGGAAAGTTCTGGTTGTTCATCCACTCCCAAACTTCAATCTTACCTCAGAAATTGAGTTTTGTGTGCACATCCATTTTATATAAATAACTGGCTTATATGTAAGCAGACTGTTGGTTTCTGGCCTTTCAGGCAGAGGCACTCAGATTAATGTTAGCAATACTAATGCACTGTGTGGGTGGGTGTGTGTGTGTGAACTGTGTCGTTCAACTCAACCAGGACCGTACAACCAGCGACCAACAGCCAGTGACACAAAGTGCCATCATGAGGATCGCACGGGCACGTCCCAGAAATCCAGTTCAACCGTTAGGTTATATTAGGGTCCCCGACTATAGCTGAGGAGAAGCTTTAAAATAACGAAAAATTGCGTCCCATATTAGGGCAAGGTTCTACTAGTACAATATATATACAATAACGACTATCCATCCGAATAACGGTCCCAAATTATCGAGGCTGAAAATATACCCTAACAGGGTCTCAGTTACATGTCAATTGTGGACCTCTTCCGGCGACTACACAGCATACCACTGAGAGTATCTACCACCGAGGCTAAACTAGATGGCTGGAACTCACGAGCAAATCAAAAGGAGGAAGCTGCATGAGATGCGGTAGCTGATGCTCATAAGTCCCAGCCATCTAGTTTACCCCTGCTCCGCGTCACGCGTAGCTGCGCGGCAGATACTCTCAGCGTTGACTTTAACTCGGCGGAAGCTTTTTTGCGGTATGCTGTGTAGTCGCCGAAAGAGGTCCATAATTTACATGTGCCTGAGGCCCTTTTAGAGTATATTTTCGGCCTCGATAATTTGGGACCGTTATACGGAGGATAGCCCAATTAATCAATACGATAAATAAATAGTATTTATCATTATAGACTATCTTCCGAATAATGGTCCCAAATTATCGAGGCAGAAAATATACCCTAACAGGGCCTCAGTCACGTGTCAACTACGCACTTCCGGTGACTTAAATTGCGCACTTCCGGCGTCTTCTGCCACCGCCGAGAGTATGGATTGGGGCTAAACTAGATGGATACACGAGCAGCAGCTACTGCATTTCCTGCAGGTGCCTTCATTTTATTTGGTCGTGAGTCCTAGCCATCTAGTTTAGCCCCAATCCACGCCGCGTGAGCGTCGTGGGGGATACTCTCGGCGGTGGCGGTATAGTTCCCGGAAGTTTGTAATTCGGCGGTGGCGGTATAGTCCCCAGAAGTGCGCAATTGACACAAGACTGAGGTCCTGTTAGGGTATATTTTCTGCCTCGATAATTTGGAACCGTTATTAGGAAGATAGCCTCATTATAATTATATGCAATAACCGGTTTTTATCTCTCGACTTTTGGCTCTCCTCCGAACTTCAACCCAATATAATGGCGGCCATAAAATATCCTTACGGGGCTCAGTTCTTTTAAAAATATGCCGGCTCCGTATAAGGAAACAAATGCTCTAACAGGGTCTCAGCGATATGTTACTTGCGGACCTGTTTCTGTGACTATGCCTCACCGCCGACCGTATCCCCCGCGCTGTTATGCGAGGCGCGGATGGCGGCTAAACTAGATGGCTGGGACTCATGAGCAGCAGCTACCGCATCTCCTGCAACTTCCTCCAGGCACCTAGTTTAGTTCTCCTATCCTCGCCGCGCGTAGCGGCGCGGGTAATACGCTCGGCGGTGAATTTAATCGCGTTTTGCTCATGCTATTATAGTCTGCTACTGTCGTCTGCAGAAACGCTCGAAATTGTCTATAGTTACTATTATCGTCTGCTACTATCGTCTGCAATGTTGCTGTCTCTTGAAATTGTCAAGTAATCCTAGTTTTGCCGCAATTTGTTCCTTGGCAGAAAGTCCGCATTTTACATATGCCTGAGCCCCGTAACAATATTTTAATGCCGCCATAATATCGGAGGAGAGCCCGACTTTTATTATTAATTTAAACTAATAATAAAATAAACAGCTCTCCTTTGAATCAACCCCCAAAACGACGGCTTTAATATGATGGCGTTCGAAAGAGAGCTAAATTGGCCAATTTCTTGCCATAAAATATCAAAAAATATCAGAATGCGGGTCAGTTCTATTAAAAATATATGTGCCGGCTCCGGATAACGAAACAAATGCTCTGACAGGGTCTCGACCTGCTTCTGCGAGTGTGCCTCACCGCCGAGCGTATCCCCCGCGCCGCGGATGGGGACTAAACTAGATGGCTGGGACTCATGAGCGCCAGCTGCCGCATCTCCTGCAACTTCCTCCAATTACTGTACTCGTGAGTCCCAGGCACCTAGTTTAGCTCCCATCCGCGCTGGGATACGCCCGGTGATGAGTTTAATCGTGTTTGGCACATGCCGACAAGTCTGACATCTACCGCTGCTAAATCCTCCAATCGGAAGAACACAGTATTGCTAATCGGCTTTCATCGTCTGTAATGTCTCGAAATTGGTCAACCGTCACTAATATCGTCTGCTAGTATTGTCTGCAGAAACGCTCAAAATTGTTGTCAACGGTCGGTATTTATCGTCTGCTACTACCGTGTGCAAATGTTGATATTGATTGTCAAGTAATCCTAGGTTTGCCGCGATTTGTTCCTTGGCAGAAAGTCCGTATTTTAGATATACGCGAACACCGTCGTTCGGATATTTTTGGATATTTTATGGCCAGAATGTGGCATGGCGCCATTTTGGGGGTTGATTCAAAGGAGAGCCAAATAAACTTGTCCAAACGTAGCGACTACGGTATCTGGAAATTTGCAATCTTTTGGCAATTTCCGTTACCACGGAAACCGTTCGAAACTTGCTTCGGAAATGTCGGCTGGGGTTTCGGGATGGGTCCTAATCTCTCATGAAATTTTGCGATTGATGTGATTTTCACATACTCTAAATAGCTGAAAACAGCGGGAAGGAACCCGATTAACATCGCGTGTCTACGACAGCCGGACGTCCTCTGTTTTTCTGTTACATCAGTTTGATTGAAAATAGCGCTAAGTATTCAAGGTTGGCTTTAGGCTTTAACTGTTACTGGCCCTGGTAATGCTAGTTATAATTGAATTCTCCGTCCATTTTTACATTTGTGTATAAAATTTCTTTCTGAACCGTGGCTAGGTAGATGTACAGTGACATTTTTCAGGCAATCGCTGGCTCAGCCAGTGGCTGTGTCTCATTGGCTGCCATCTTGTCCAGTGACAGTCCAATGTAAACAAAGCCAAAACGAAAGTTGCGCAGTTTGGTTGCGCAGAGAAAACCTCTTGTTTCTGGGAGGCAAGTTTTAGCAGCTGCTTTCTACATCTCATCTCCACACAAACCTACATATCTCAGCTCAGAAATGACATACAAGCCTAAATGAGGTACCGTTGGAAAGAGATTGTTTACAGCTATCTAACTGTGCTGGTTCTATTGGTGTACAGAGCATTTTGAAAATTTGACTACCAAACGATGTTTTTTTTTTTCTTTCTGGTCAAACTTACAAATGGGTCTGAATGTGACGACATGTAGCATACTATGTCTGTCAATTTGGAATCATGTTGGTTCAACTTGCCCCAACATCCGGGCTTGAGAAATCGAGCAACTGTGTTGACAAACATCATGCAGCAGGCCGACCTCTCTTACTTCAGGTAACTGCTAGAAGTGTTGACGTTTAGAGTTATTGTCCGTGTTTAGGGGTTTCCCGGTTGAGATAATACTAAACACCAAAATAATTTACAAAGTTTATCTCAAAGTATATCCTCTTGATCCCCTATTGACACCACCAGTCATTCACGCTCTGACTTTTTTTCTGCCTATGGTTTCACATGTTAGTTTTACTTTGCTTAATTTCGCTGTCCTCTGTAATCACAGGTTTCTTCTGACAAAAAAATGTATTGAGTTTGTGTGTAATTTCCGCTATCATTTGCTCCCACTCACTATTATATACTATTATAGTTAAATGCGGTCGGCTCTGTGGCTAAGTCGATGCGAACGCTTCGTAATGCTGGGGTGCCGGGTTTGATCCCAGCTGCGGGCCATGCGCCTTGCGTTGGTTTTGACAGTAGTATCAGGGAGCCGACCGTCCAGTAAGCAATGGCAAACTACTGGACGTAAATTTGTCCGGAGATACCGCACAACAGCCAGGGGCTGATGGGGTTGGTTCTGCAACGTCCTGTAAAGGATACGCAACTATTAGAATACTTGACTGCAATCGCAGTTTTGATCGTACGAGAAAAACACATTGTCTTTCTACTTATTATTTTGTTTACTTTTTATTACAAACACGCCAAGCACATAATTCTTGTTAACAGTATTAACATAGCGAGAGAAAAAAGCTCGCCGCATGCTTACATCACTCATGCAGCAACTATAACGTGTGGGCGCTACCAGTTACTAACACTACTAAGTTAAGTTAAGTCAAGAATTGACATCACAGCACTTGGGACATTCCCATGCATGCTCTGTCCTCAACTTCAGCAGCCAGCACAGAGTTCCAATACTGATGGTACCGGTCACAATTTGGTTAAATGTCCGTCTTGCCTTTCCTCTGAGTGTAGTCAGACGGCCAGACCCTCTGGTTACAACCAGGTGCCTCATTCTCTCCAGGCTATAATAATCTTCTTTCTCTACTGATTCCGTTGCTTGTTCCGAAAGGGCCTTGAAAACATCTGCCTTGTCATGTATCAATTCACCACCCAGTGGTGCAGATACAGCCAATCTGTCTGCCTGTTCATTATCCACCACGCCGGCATAGCCTGGAGAAAAGATCCAAAGTATGCCCACTATCAGTATCTGCGAAGGGAATCCCACTCTTGTGATGATGCTCATCAATGCCTCTGCCACAGTCTTACTGTCAATCTTCCGAAGAGCGATAGCCTCCGGCCAAGCCGAAAAACAGTCTACCAAGGTCAAGATGTAAGCATTCTTCTTTTTTGTGAGAGGAAGTGGTCCTACCAGATCGACCGCCACCCTCTCAAAAGGTGTGGAGGTGACAGGGGTTTCCCCAAATCCGACTGGTGCATTCCTGCCTTTAGGAGCCACCTTCTGACACTCCGGACAGGATTTGACATAACGCATGATATCTGCTGACACACCCGGCCAAAAGTGATGACAAGCAATGCGTTGTGTCGTTGCAGGAATTCCCATGTGGGCACTGTAGGCTATAGTGTGTCCCATCTGGAGAATTTGCTGTCTATATGTTTTAGGTACCACTAGCTGACTGTGCTCTGTATACTTGTCACTTGCCCATCTATAAAGTATCTTACCTTTCATGTTGAATTATTTCTTCTGAGGAGGATTGTGACTTGCAGTTAATTTTTTTAAACATGCCTTAAGAGTTGGGTCACTATTCTGGGCCACCTTGATTTCCTCAGGTAGAGGATTTACATGAGGAGAATCTTCTGAGGCACTCTTATGCTGTGCTCGGGTGGTCACCGCAGCAATATGCTCTGAGGGTTTCTTCGGCTCTGCTAAAATTACATAAGTAGCGCCTAGAATTAAATCAAAGGTACAGTGTTCACGCACTGCTGCCTCAATTACCACCGAGACATACTTTGATCGGACCTTTATCTTAGCAATCGGCCAGTTTAAAGGTTTAGCATCCAATGTAGCACACTGGAGCTCTATGAATCTGCCTGTATACTGGTCAGGTTTTACAAACTCTGGGTTCACCACAGTCCCGTACGACAATCCGCTATCATATAGACAATTTAAAAAATATCCGTTAGCCCAGACCCTCTCTACCACAGGTGGCCTATTGGAGCCATTGTACAACTTTTCCTGGGTAGACGGTACTAGAGTAGACAACAAAGCTGATACTTGCAAACTCCCCTGACTGTTGGGATTTACACTCCCTAGTCCAGTGGTTAATGTTCTTACAAACTTTGCAGTATAGCTTTTTAGGTCCATTAAAGGGTTGTCTCTGTTGTGTTCCCTGAAATTTTGAGGGGTTCTGGGGTTGTGCTTGGGATGAATTCTTTTTAGGGGATTCATTTGGATGGGTTTTATGACCATTTCCACCATTCTTTCCTTGGCCCTGGGCCTTGGGTTTCCCACCTGTACACACCTCTTTATGTGCCATCTTATACCTCTCAGCATACATCAACATCTCACTCAGTCGGTCAGCATAATTCTCCGTCAAGAACGTTTGCATAGGGCGAGGTAATGTCTCTCGGAGTTGTTCCGTTAAGACCATCTCCTGTAAATCCTCAAAGGAAGAGGAGTATCCAGACATTTCCATCCACCTAGTCAAATATCCTTGAAGGCGACTGGCGAACTGGGGATAGTTCTCCCCTGTCAACTTTCTCTCATTTCGGAACTTCTGTCTGTATGTAGCAGCATTTAGTTCGAAACGTTTCAGCAAAGCCTGACACAATGCATCATAATCAGTCTCAGTACCGGTGGGCATCCGCTGATAAATCTCGTATGTCTCACCCCGCAAACCTTGAGCCAACTTCAACGTGTACATATTCCTTTCTAAATTGTACAAAGACGCCAATTTGCCAAATCGGTCTAGGTACTGTTCAATATTCTCAGCCTTCGGGTCGAAGACTGGCATAGGAAAGTTCATCGCTTGAGCTGAGCTACTGTGCGTTGATGCACCATCAATCTCAGGTGTGGGAGATCTGGGTCTATAACCCTCTCTCTGTGCCTGAAGTTCCAATTCTCCTAATCTTACTTCCTGTTCCAATCTCATTCTTTCTGACTCCTGTTCAATTTTCATTCTTTCTGCCTCCCTCTCAGACTCAAGTCGGAGTCTCTCAGATTCCATTCTGAGTCGTTCGGTTTCTTGCATCCTCTCAGATTTAATCTTAAGTCGCTCTGCATCACGGGCTTCCATCCTCATCTCACGTTCCGTGGTTTTGATCCAATCGGTCATTTCCTTATCCTCCAATCCCATCTGGACAGCCATTTCCTTCAATTCCTGTATAGAAATTTTTGACTGCGACATGCTGTCTTGTCAATCTAACAGTCCACAAACAAAATATATTGTCACTAACAATTTAAATATAATCAAAATTAGATTATTTTATCACCACCCACTAAGGTTGTACCTAACCCAATATACTGGAAACACCACAAAACACCACACTTAATCACAAATTACTCCTAAGAGCACATTCTAAGAACTGATCCAGAGTGGTCACAACTGTGTTAACAACAAAATACAAACACTGAACAACCTCCTGGCCAAGATCACCAGCAACTTTAAAGATTGAACAGAGTATACAAACAATCCCACGACGAGACCACAGATTTTTTAGGATATGTGTTCTGTCACATATCACTCCTGTCACGTGCCTGATTTAAGGATTTCTCCTTAAGAACCAACAGCACTCTGAAATAATTATGTTGAGTCGTTGGCTCGTATTGGTCTAAGGGATGCCCCGTGGCCAATATACGCTCAACTTATTTCAGGAGTAGGGCAACTCAAGTTTTGGCACTACAAAATATATAATATTCCTAGGCACACTAGGTTGGACACCCCCACTACTATAAAAAGGAAGCCCCCAGGTTATGATAGTATACTATCATAGCCATGTTAACACAGATAACACTTATTACTCACACAAACATCAAAGCTAGACAGTTAGAATGGTGAAATAGGGACATTTTGCATGTAATTAGTACAATATATACATATAATAATGAATAGATTCTCAAGAATGTTCAGGAATCAATGACACAACCCAGATATTGAAGCAGAAGGATATTGTTCCAGGAGAGTACATGAGTTCATCATTGAAATCACAAGGAGCTGTGAGAAAAGAGCATGATTGTAATTAATAGATCCCTTATCCCAGTTCGTAGATCAATGCTCCCCTCAGTCCATGGTGATTCGACTGTTGTTGACTCAGGTATCTATGCCTCGAGTTGATCTGGTACACGTTGATTATCTCACCATCGAGGACACAGGAACTGCATAGGAACCCAAGAAGTCTCTCTCACAGGTCAGGACACAAAACTGCATCAGAGCCCAACAAAGCTCTTGAAGACTGGTTCTCTGGATTGATGACACAGATGTCTGCATTGTCCACTCGTCCTGGAACTCACAAAACAAGCTCTTGCCATGTTGAGGTAGTGGCACAACGGGCAGGACTTGTGGGTATGCTTGGTGCCCAGAATGGTATGGGTTGGTGGTGGTTGGTTGGACTATGATTCGTCTGCCTGATCTCTAAGGAGGTATCATCCCAAGCTTAGGAAATCTTCCAAGATAGAAATGGAACTTTGAATGCGCCAATTTCTACATAGACTGTGTACATGTCTTGACACTTTGGGATCAGGCGAAAGAATGTTTTTTTCAAAATCAAACTAGCGTCTCTAGGAAAGAAGTCCCTTGTATTCCTGCCCAAGGAGTAAACCGGTTTACAGGAATTTCTAAATAAATTACCAGAAATCGTCAACCTACAGTTGCAAGTTTGAAAATGAAGATTTATCAAAGCAACTAGATGGTCTAGAAATGAATATATTACAAGATAAAAGTATATATCAATATAAGGGACTATATACCCTTCTGGACGGGTTTAAGTTTGAAATTTGACTGTGCGCGAGGGAAGTCAGAGTCCCTACTCGTCCATTGTGTAGGGTGGCTGCTCACCTCACGACACCCACTACATGT